ATGCAACGAAGAATCCAATGTAATTGTCATTCATGAACCATTTGTATCAATGAAAAATTATAGCATTTAATCTCTGTGAGTGTAATCAAATGGTTAAATTGTGGCATTAGAAGCTAATTATGCTTTTTCTTCTGTCTGTTTAAGAAGTAAGAGAGCTCCATAACATAGTATTCTGGCACAACATGAAGTCATGGGAAAGTCCAAAACCTGAATTGTTAAATGAATGTTAGTGGACCAACCAGAGACCCAACCTGTACCTTCTTTGCCTCCCTATGAGCATGGGAAAACCTGACCATCCAATCCTTTTAGAAGGGGTTCTGCACCTTAATTACCACCCCATTGTAAGCACTCTCTATATATATATATATATATATATATATATATATATATATATATATATATAAGTTGGACAAAATAAGGAACAATAATAATATTTTTGAATGAAATATTTTTAGAGAGTGATTATTTACATAAGAAATCGAAATACTTTATATTTGGTTAGAAAATATTAAAAGAAATTGAAATTTTAGAATTTTTATTATTTAAAATAATGAAATTTTAAATTTTACCTGTAATAATAAAAATTTGAAATTTTTTATAGTTTTTCTCTTTCTTTTCTCTTTATAAACTTTATTTTGGCAAGAATATCATTAAATTTGTATCATTGGAACATAATAGATTTAATTTTGGCCAATATATGATATACAAAATTATTTGCAACCCATATTCGTTATATATGTTAGTGAGAGTATTTTGGTTAATATAATTTAGTTTTTTTTTTTAAGTCTATGTTGATATAAGTTAATTTTTGGATGAGATTATTTTTTGGTTGATCCAGAAGTTATTTTGTGGGTTTTGTTAACACATGTTGAAGGGAATATTTTTTTTATTAATATCTTCTAAGTTTTGCTTTGAGTTCTTTTTTTATTGATATTTGTAAAGAGTTTTTTTCATTCGATATCAATAATGTTATTTTTTTCTCTAAAGTTGGTAAAGAGAGTTATTTTCTCTTAACATTATATAATTTCAAATTCAACCTACGAGTTAAAATTTGAGTTGTGGTTAAGTTTGGGCGAACATTATAATTGTTTCAAATATACAATAGTTTAGTTTTATAATTTATAATAAAAATTTTAACTTTTTTTTAATATCCTTATTATTTATTCATCATTTTTTTCTCTTTCAAAAGGTGAAAATATGAAACATTTGCTTATTTTCCCTGAAAACAAAATTTCCTTTACAATTTTTAATATCATTTTACAACTATAAATTTTGATTTAAAAAATTATGAGATTTTACTTTCTAACAACAAATATATTATACTTTTATCATCCATATTTAAATTTTAACTTCATGAAACAAGTGAACAAACTACATCTGAAAAATAATAAACCTTCATTATCTAGTATAGGTTTAATTTGGAAAAAAAAATTACTTTCAGTCTTTACTTTTTTATATTATTTTTATTTTTTTTTAAATTTTGTATCTTTGATATTTTTTATAATTAAATAAATTTTATTGATTAACGTAAAATTAGATAAAGAGATAAAAAAAAGTGCATAATATCAAAGATTAGAACAGTTATTTTGTGCCTGATATATCATTATAGTCACCATAGAGTCCCCATGTGAGTTTTTTTTTCATAAGGATATGTTTAATAAAAATTAGTTAATATAATCTTAAATTCTATAACAACAGTTAACTTAACATAATTTTTTTATATAAAAATTTGGTAATTATTTAGAAATATTAATAATTTTTTAAAAGAAAAAAATTGATAAAATAAACCTATCTAACTTTTATTAGACCTTCGTCTTATTTTTAATTGAGTTTTGATTTTGATAAAATATATAGAATAATTGAATAATTATTTAAATGTTACAAAAAATAATTTTAATGTATTAAAGATATTAAATTAAACTTATATATTATTTAGTATTATTATTAATAATAAGAAGAAGACAGTTTGAATTGTATTGTGATGTGTATAAAGGAATTATATGATTTAATTACAATAGTTATTTTAATGAGAACTATGAAAGATTATATTATTATTATTATTATTATTATTATTATTAAATAATAGAGTCAAGAAATGTAATGGAAATAAGATATGTTTGTGTTGAATAAGTGACATGAATATATAGATAAGATGATAATTAAAATATGGTGTGTTTATTTAAAATATGAGTTAATTTTTTATATTTATATATATTTTTATTATTTTTAAAATTCATAAGCGTTGAAAAAGTCAATCAAAATATTTAAATAGAAATGTAATTTAAATTATTACTTAATCATTAGCCTATTAATATGGATGTAGTCTCTCAATTCTAGGGTGATATCTTGAACGTGCACACAAACTCCGGGTGACAAACAGATTCCTAATGCCCGACAGATCGTAGTGTCGGACAGAGCCGAATAAGTTGTTAATCAGTGAAATATATAGTTCTGTCAGTATGACACTGAAATAAGGGACGAGAATGTTTCCTTTTTGTTTGGTCAATTTGTTTTTTTTTTTTAACTAATATAATTAAAAAATATCGAAAAATCATAAAAAAATATATATATTATATTTTACTTAAAAATTAATATATTTTAAAATCAAATAATTTAAAAAAAATTACTTTTTAATATTCTTTATCAAATATCTTATCTATTTCTTAAATAAATAAATTTAAATATTATTTATTTTTTAATAAATTTATTGATTTTACATATGATTTTTAACAATATATTTACTCTATCATTTTTTATATTTTTTTATTGGTCTTTGATTCCATTAATTTTTCATCTTAGAATTTGTTTTCTTTAAATATTTTTTCTTTTATTTAAATTAATCTCTAATAAATTTATTAACATTATATTTAGATGTTGAAATTTTTAATTTTTTTCATATTTAGTTCATATCACCAAATTTATTTGTGTTAAAATATGATTATAGTCAACGTAAAGTCCCATACGAGTTTTTTTTTTTAATTGTTTTCACAAGGATATGTTTAATAAAAATTAGTTAATATAATCTTAAATTCTATAACAAAATTCAACTTAATATAATTTTTTATAAAAAATTGATAATTATTTAAAAATAAAAATATTTTTTAAAAGAGAAAAAATTTGATAAAATAAACCTATATAACTTTTATTTGATCGCGGGCCTTATTTTTAATTGTGTTTTAATTTTAATAAAATATATGAAGTAATTAAATAATTATTTAAGTGTTATAAATAATAATTTTAATTTATTAAAGATAATAATAATAATAATAATTTGTACTGGACAGGCCCAATTTTCTCTACTACGAGAAATCGAGACCTTGAGGATAATTGCGTCCTGTACCCATGCTTGCTATGTACACTCCCTGTATAACTAAAGACAAAAGTATTCTTTTGTTTTTTCTCTATTAAAAAAAAATACAATCTTTCCTTCATTCACTAACATTTATCTTTTGTTTTAAATTTGATTATTACGTTGAATTGGTATAATTATTTTTAGGTTTATGTTTTCCTTTGAATATTTTTCCTTTTTAATAGCTGGCATGTCTTACAATTTATAATTTATAATGCATGAATCGATTGGTTGACTATATTATTGGTTTTAATCTATAAGAAAAAAATATTAAATAGTATGAAAGCAAATTTAAATTTTACGTGTCCAATTACGTTAACTAACAAAACATTAATAATTTTAATGTTATTTTATTAGTTTATTAATTTTATTTAATTAAATATTTTAATAGTATTAAGATATTATATTTAAATAATTTGATATTTAAAACTTAAATAAATAAAAAATCAATTGATTATTATAATTATAGAATTGTGATTAATATAAATCAATTTTTATATATTTTGAAAATAATTTTATGTTAAACTATCTTATAAATAAAATGAGGGTTTGGTTAAAAATATATATAAAAAAAAAATAACACATAACATGTGGTTTAACGATGCATTACATTAATATATTAAATTAATTTTATCATTTCTTACCCTTAACAAACATAATAAAATAAAATAAAGAGTTGATTGATAAACAAAACAGCAAAAAAATTGATTGACGGAATAGGTAAAATGAGTGATTAAAGTATCAGTTAGTTAGTTATGTTTGATACATAAACTTCTTAATAATCATAACAATGTAAAAATATTGATAAAAAAATGAAAAAAAAATCGGAATTATATAAAATATTTATTAGAATAAAACAAACAAAACAAATAAAAATAAGTAAAAAAAAACATAAAAAAATATTTGATATATAAAATATTCTTCTTTATATTCATTTGTAAAGAAATTATAATCATGATACTTTAACCATATTTCTTTTCATTCACTTTTTTTTATCTATATATTTTCTTTTCCATTCACTCTCGTTTTTTTATAATAAAGATAGGTGAAATAAAATATTAAAAAATAATCTAAATCCAAATAATTCAAAAATTATTATTCAATTTTTCAGAAAAAATAATCCAAATTCAAATAGTTCAAAATTTATTATTAAATTTTTCAAATCAAAATATTCGTTCGTACGTTTGGAGACTTGCACAGTATTAACAAAAATCTATCATCTATTTTTTTATTTCAAGGAACTACGAAATTTAAAAACATTAATTAAAGATATAAGTTTTGTCCTCTCTTTGCCCTGAAAGTGAGTATTTAAGTAAACAAATCCTCTGCACTTATCATTTTCTTCACCTCAACAAATCATACGTTGAGTAATTTATTTATTTCAAAATCGAAATAAAAAACAAATAAATATAACACTTCGGTTTTACTGTTTTCTTTGACATTCTTATCATGATATAGAAAGATACAAATAAGAACTGATTGCAAACCTGCAATTGACCAAATTATAAAACAATATCATTAACCGCATGAAAAATCCATATATAAAGGTTGAACATAACCAAAGTTGAAAACAATAATAAACACCAAAACCAGTAGGCTAGTCTAGGATCCCCAAAACCACTTTATTGTTGCAAATGAAGTGAAAGATGAACTAGGCAGAAGCTGTCTTCTTTTGCTGGAAAATGACAGCAAACACAGGAACTGCAACACCAATGCTGAAAGCAGTGAATACAGCAAGGGACATTTTCAACCCCTGGTACTTCATCTTGTCCAAGTTGTACATGTGCTTTGCATGTAAATAATAGGGCTCATCATGGCCATGTCCCCCTCCCATCCTCTTCATGCCAGTTGAATGAAAACCTCTGCTCACTGTCAACATAATTTTATTTTCTAGTAAGACGGTGCAACTCTGATTAAAACAGTGACTTTCCAAGGATCTAAAAGGGTATTGATATGCAATTGTGTGTGTGTGCATACATACACGCTCAGATATCAGTAAATCTTAATGATTATTAAAGAATTAAAAATTAACAATATTTTTCTAAGAAAGAAATTTAAAAGACGCCAGGCTTTGTTATTTGGCAACACTCTGAATCACTGGGAGAAAGAAGACAAACAATTGTGGCTGCTATAATTACAGACCATCCAATCAACATTTCGAGCCCTCAGAAGTTTTAAGGTGATTTTTAAATTGATACCCACCCTTCCAGCCATGTTCACAACCCTTCACCTTGAATTAACCCACTAATTTGCGGTGCTGTTCCTTTGCACCACCCATCTCTGGCACGGCTCCTCTTTGGAGTTGCCATGGCATCATCTAAGTCACAGCAGCCAACGGAACACTCAGACTCAGCTTCAATCTCTCATTGTTAACTGTCAAATTATGCCTTAGATTGATGATGATTGTGTATCTAGACCAAAAATTTTGACCTTTAACAATGATATGTTTTTAGTTGGGTTTTTTTTTTTTTTAATTGAGCAATATTAAATTTGTATAGCATAAATTACATATTTTATTCATTCTCATTGATAAGCCACCTACTCCACCCCATATATCTTTCATAAAAAGTATTTCTAGGTATTTGGAAGGGGTACTGTCTCATACCTGCAGTAACTGAATGGAATGAAGCTGAGCAAACCATTAGAGCTACAACATAGGCTTACAACTTATCCCTCATTGATAAATAATAAGTAATATAACTACATGACTAATACTATAATAGTAAAATGTTAAATGCATTAACTGCACTTGCATGATAACTAATTATCCCACATTTTGCTCTTGTTTAATATTAGATGCTGCTATTTAAGCTCAAAATCCAAGCTTAATACATCTCCACAACATCCAAGTCTCATGACAGTAGGTGTGTTCACAACCTTGGTTATATACAACGAGATTTCCGATCATGTTAAAAAAGAAAGCATACACAAAATTCAAATCACAACCTTATAAATATAGCAAATATTCAGGCAGCAACAGTAGGCGCTAAAGATCCAACATATATTTTAAGGGTAGATCACAGAGAAGGCCCTTGTTTGGGAATGTTTAGAGATAGGAGGAAGAAAAATGAAGAATATATCATGTAATTATCCAAGACTTCTGCCTTATGCATCAACTTGGAAGATTTGTAAGTGATCAATCACAAACAATAACAAAGCAAAGTTACTCCTGATGCTCCACCCCCTTCTCTTCGCTTCCCATTTTTCTATTCCTTCTCGTACCAACTCTCAAACATTCAATAAACTAAATGCCCTATACATAGAATAGTGGATTTGGAACATAAAATATGATATAAATGTTGCGAGTTTAACAGGGTAAAACATTTACACTAAAACCTCAGGTACGTACAGAAAATTTGCAAAATCAATTACAGCAATTTACAAGAAAAGAGAAACTCAAGCATTCCCAACAGTCTTTCCTGCACAGAAAGCCCACAAAAAATATTTAACTGCTCCCTCCGTTTAATGACAAAGCTCTTGCAAAAGCTAATACTATCAACAACTAATTGAATTTGTAACTTCATAAATTAAACTCAACTGAAAACTCATCCAATATATAACATTTTGCAGCTAAAAAGAGGAGGAGGGGCACAATCTAGTGCATGGAGCTCAAACTTAGAGGGGTCTATGGAGGGTAGATGCATGCACTATGCAGCGATACTTCCCACATGCAGGAGAGCAAATAAAACCAAGAAAAATCAGCAAAAATGTAACAGAAACTAAAACTCCTTCTACCCCAACTACCATCAACATTTCCATGCTGTAAAAAGGACAAATCAAACACAAGAAGTCCTGTAGTTCTAGGTTACATGGTCTCATCCCTCTCCAGCTCCCTTGTTCGAAGCATTACTACCTTCACCATTGATCGTGACCAACCCCAATAATTCACCACATGAAATTCATCAAGCTAAACCATTCTAGTCTCAAGGAACGCAACCAGAAAAGTGAAAGTCTCAAACCTGCACCGTCCCTCTTGGTCCACTTCTCTACATTCAACAAGAAAACATCCATCAAGTCAAGTCACCCCCAACACCTCTAACTTCAAACTCCACAATCTAAATCAACGAACACAGCGCGAATTACACATTTAATCCCCCAAACACTTTCTCCTCTCACCGATTGCATTTCATTTCCAACGCAGGTATGACGACATTCACCGTTTCCTATAAAACTTATTGAATCTATAGAAAAAAAACTAATCCCCAATAATAATATTCAATACAGCACAACCTGCACCAAACTTTTTTATTTCGATTTTGAAAGAGAAGACCATAACAATAAAATAAATAAATAACAAAACATACTTTGAATCTATAAAAAAAAAAAAAAAAAAAAAAGGTAATCCCCAATACAGCACAACCTACACCAAACTTTTTTTTTTTTTTCGATTTTGAAAGAGAAGACCATAACAATAAAATAGATAAATAAATAAACTCACTGTTACAGAATCCGCCACCTCCCTAACCGAATTCATCATTAAAAAAGACATAAGGAACATCATGGTAAAAACAAAATCGAATTGCATTAAGATTCGCGAGTTACGAATCACAAAAATGTTAACGAAAGGGGGGATTCGACCTGAGGTAGAGAGGGAGGATTCGGAAGAAGCGATGAGTTTTGCGGCAGATCTTAGTGCGTTGTTGAAGGCCATTGGTAACGCGGATTGGATTCGAAACTGAAATGGTTTTCCTACTCGCTCGTCGTTTGGTTCCACTCTTCTGAAAACCCTTCCTTGCTTTGCTTCTTCGTTTCGATTTAAGTTTAAATTAACTCACTTTTTTTTTTTTTATTGGGCTCGTTGCGTTAATTGATTTAAAATTTAAGATGAATATTAAAAATTAAAAAAGAAAGTTCGAGAAACGGTTAATTAAAAAAAAAGTCAGTTACGTGTGCCTTTCGCCACTAAAAAATTTAACAAAAACTGTCTCCTCTGAAAAAAATATAATTAATTCATATTATTTGTTTTAACATGTATTATTTCATTTTTTTATACAATAATAATTAATTTTATTATTTTATAATATCATTTTTTATTATGTATCTTAAATATTTAGATAATATATTTGTTGTTAATGTTGTTATATTATTTATTAATGAATATTCATTTATATTTAAATAAGATTTAATTAATGATTTAGTCTTGTATTTGTGTTCAATTACTCTTTTATAATAAAAAAATATATTTAAGTTTATGTATGAATATTTTTTATTTAATTATGATTTTAATCTTAAAAATTTTGAGTGATTATGGTTTAATTTTAATATATATATATATATATATATATATATATATATATATATGTATAAAAGTTTCTCAAAGTTGAAAAAAAAATTTATTTTGAAGGATTAAAATATTCGTTTAAGTCTAATGAAGTTTTTTTTTTTCAAAAAGTTAGTGAAGTGGTTAAACATAATTGTTTTTAAGTTTTAAAATTTTCATTTTGTTATAACTTTATATTATTAAAAATTTAATAATAAATATTAAAGTATATTAAAATTTATATTTGAATTCATTTAGAAATAGGTTTTGATAGTCTAGTATATGTTAAATAGATTTTTCTAATACTATGGAGTAAACTATTTTTTTATTTGAATTTACATTTTTAATGAGATGGATATTGTGTTAAGAAGGTTATTCAATTGTTTTTATCATGATCTTAAGGTGATTATTTCTTTTGTTTTTATTTCAAATTGAGTTTATTTAGATGATTTGTGAGTTTCGTTTAACACTTGATATGTGTTTAGGTTAGGAGTTGAATTTCTTTTATCTAAAGTTATCTCATGAATCTAGAGTTAGGGTTCACAATTAGATTCTTAGATGATCTAACTTCCAACTAGCCAAACCAAAAAAATGTGTGTAGGCTCCTCTTTTACTTGAAGCAAACATTATTTTTTTTCAATATATCTTACAAAAAATTCATACAATGGGAGAAAGTTTTGTTTTTCCAAACAGTTGGTCTAATTGTTTTTCAACAATGTTTTGTATAAAAACCTATAATATGCAGTGACGTTGTTGCCTCAATAATGTCATGTATCTCCATAATGGTCAAAACTTTTGTTTTGTTCTAAATAAGGTAGTGTCGTTAGTTTTGTAACAAGAGACGAGTAAATCAAGGTTAAAAAAAATTATATCAAAATTATATGATGACTTGATCATATGACTTTTTTTATTTCAATTATTAAATTAATCATTTTATTCTACACTTAAGTAAGTGTATATATGTGAATAGATAAATGTTTAAGTGGATCACCTTATCATAAATAGAGCTACAAAATTTTTAATTTATGGATAAAATTAAGTTTATATATTAATTTTAGCATAAGAATGTTATTATAAACTAAAAATAAGTTGGAAATTTTATTCCAGGGTGATAGAAAACTTAAGTAAACAATCACAATATTATATTGAAATATGAACTTTTTAGAGGTAAACAACTTAAAACACAATGGATACTTAAGTATCCATATAATTCTTTATATGGTAATATAAATGTCTGAGTCATTAAATTACATTTATGACAAAAGTTATTAAGCAAATTATGCACAATAGTGTCAACTTTAAAATAATACATTGAAAGGATACAACTCCATGGAAAGTAAAAATATTTTTCTTATAAGAAACTTATTATAGCTAGTGTGTATATTAGCTCTACATAAAAAGAATAATAATGGTGAAGACCCTTGTGGTATTGGTATTGACACTCTGAATATTGGATTATATAAGAAGTAGGTGTTGTCAACTTTGAATAATATAAAAAGTAATAATTGTTTGATATAATTTAAACCCTAAAATAAATAAAAAAATATTTCAATCATTTTCACTCCCATTTATGCCATCCTAATACAATTTTAAAGAATATCTAAATAATACAATTTCCATTTCTTCCTCTTGTACTAAAGCACCTATATAATAGAAGTTTCATTTTATTGCATTGTTTTTTTTTTTTTTAAATTCACAAATCATTAATCAACATGACGTGATACCTTAAATATATATATATATATATATATATATATATATATATATATATATATATTATTAACATTTCTTCTCCAATTATCTTCAAAATAATATGAATTATCTTATTTTGGGTTATAATCTACTATTGTAGAGTGTCTTTCTTAATAAAAATAATAATCTATTTATATATAATAAATCCAATTTCCTATTTTATAAATAAGTAATAAATACTAATTTCTTTATTTTTATTTTTTAGTATATCTATTATTTTCTTCAATAATAATGACTTTTTTATTTTTTTATATTAAAAAATAAAATATTTAGATATAGCGTTCAATATAGAAAAATAGTATAAATATTTTTTTAATAAAAGTTGAAAGCAATTCTATGAATTCCTCTTAAAATTTATATTTTTTATTCCACCGTTATAATTATTAAAAAAACAAGTGGTAATAAATATAATTAAAATAAACAAAATAAAGATACGAAATTAAACCATTTATGATATCTTCAAAAGAATTGACTAACAAAAATTATTTAATAAATATTTTATATAGACTCCACAAGTGAATTATTTAAAAATTAATCAAAATTATAATTTTTTTAATTTTAAATAAAATATTTATTTTATTAATAAATAACTGTTTCACAACGTCATAACTCTTACTAACAATTCTATTTGAGTAAGCCAAAAACAATTTTTTTTTTTTTTTTTAAGATGGCTTTCGTTTGTTTGGAGTTCCCTCCACCACAAGATAATATAATTTATTGCAGTTGTCGTTGGTTTCCACTCACTCGCTCACTGCTGACAAACCAAGCAACTTTCTTCCATTCCAATTCCATCGCCACCAACCCTCACACACTGTGTGTTATTTAGATGGCCACCATTTGTAACCTCAACCTCAACCTCAGTCTCGTAGTCCCTGGGGTGCAACCCAAGTCCGTGACGTGGCCTTCACGCGCACTGTCCCTGAGTCGCGGTGGAAACGGGTTGGCGTCGGTGATGGTGACGCGCGCCATCGACACGAACGAGTTCCTGGGGGACTTCGGGGCGAGGGACCCTTTCCCGGCGGAATTGGAGAGCTCGTTTGGAGAGAAGGTGCTGGGATACGGCAACACCGAGCACAGAATCCTAATCCCCAATATCTCTGCTCTCTCCCTCTCGCAGCAGGACTGTGCTCCCATTTCCCATTCGCAACCACCCATCTCCCAAGATGACGCTCAGGCGCTCGTCAGGAAGGTAACAACTACATCTCATTACTCATCATTTCCGTGAGATTATTAGATAGTTATGTTCATGTCTCAACTCTCAACCAATCATAATAAAAGAGATGCTTATTTATCCTTTTAGTCTTTATATTTGAAACCATCTTCTCTTACAGTTTTAAGTATTTCATTTTAGGCTTTTTAGTTGTTATTTTTTTATATCGTTTAGATTCCAGTTGACATTGTTGTTTAAGATGAATATGAATAGAAGTAGTCAAATGACATTGGTATTAAGCAAAGTAATTGATATGTGATGACAAGATAAAAAAGGGTAAAAGGTATTACAATAATAGGGAGTAAAATGAGATGTTTTAAACTGGAAGGAGTAAAAAGGACAATTGGACCAAAAGTAAATGATTGATCTACCAGAGATTTTCAATTAACAAGAAAGAGTTGATCATACTCAATTACTAGTTAGGTAATGATATTAGAACTATAATAATATCTTTTCTATGTTTAGGCCTAATTACAGAACAAGTATCCTTAGCAACACACTTTTATATACTCTTTTTAATGAAAAATGGTTAAAGAACTAGAAAGTTAAGAGAGACTACTAAAATGAAGTGAGATCTCTAAAAATTTATGATGCCCAATACCTTTTAAAAACAGTGGAATGAACGAGCATGTTAGCATATTTCGGTGTACTACACTTTTTGTATGCTACACTTTAGAATATATGTTAATACTACACTTTTCGGAGTATTTATAATATGCAGCTTCATGTGCATGTATATATAGAAGGAGTCTCAAAAGGTGTTGAAGAAAAATTAGTCTCAGCTCGTGTACCTGTTAAATATTTCATTAGCAAGTGATGCTCAATTGTTGTTGACTGTATATGTTTGGGATTGTTCACACTATAGACACTGAAGAAAATGTGGGTTTTATTTACAAGCCTTTTTATAATCTGTTAAATAGTTGGTTATGGATTATAGTATTTCTCCCAGAAAAAAAAAAAAAAAAAAAAAACAGAAGATATAAAGAAGATATAAGGGTTTGGTCGGTGTTGTAATGGTTAAGGAGTGGCCTCTGTTCATTCTAATAAACTTTATTCTACCACATATATCCATATCAATAGATAAGGGATCCACTTAATCCAAGTTAAAGAGTTTGTTTTCATCTTAACTATTTATTGTTTTTAATCTAATGAGTAAAATGAAAATAAGTTACCAATTAAGACTATTAGATTACCAAAAATGAATAATATGAAGATGAAAAATAAGTCTCTATTTCTTATTTTTAAGGTAAGTGAATCCTCTCATATCTATCTATCTGTATATCTTTATTCAATAACTTAGAATAAAGGTAAGCTCAAATTTTTATACAAAACATAGCTCCTAAGCTTGAGTTGATGATGGGCTGAAATGTGAGAAGAAAAAGCAGGTGATGAGGATCGAACATAACCACTTGATTTAAAGATTTTGGATACCCCTAGTCATCTTTTGCAATTCATTAGATATATATACATTATACAGACTGCATGTGAAAGGTTATATGAAGAAATAAAGTCCCTCAGTTTGGTGTTTGAATGCACCGTTGCATCAAATCTGTTTTGATCAAAATCCACAAGCCATCCTATTTTATGCTGCTGCTGCTCTGTTCTGAAATGTTATGAACAATGTTGAAGAAGCAATAAGTTGGGTTCTATAGTCACAGTGTATTTTAATTTTCCGCCTCTCGAGTTTTAAAATCTGATCATGTTATTGCAGCACATTTGGTCATGTTATTTCCTTGAATTACCAGTGCTTTCAAGTTGTTTACAGTGGTTTGACATGCAGAATTTTGATTTACAAATTGAGGTGATGTATAATTTTTCTGGATAGCTTTTAGTTGCAATTAACATTTACAGTGGTAAATACTAATTTACGCGTTCTTATATTGTGTTTATTTAATTAAAAAGCTAAAAAGTGTATTTTAAAGCTTAATAGTTTACCTGGTTGTAAACTTCTGTTATAAAAAAAATGGATAGCTATGTGATTGTCTATTTGACTTTTTCCACCTTAAAGCCTATCTTCTCTTCATTTTTGTAGGTTGTGGGTTGGAGACTTGTGAATGAGGAAGGTGGACTTAAACTTCAGTGCTTGTGGAAACTGAGAGGTTTTAAATGTGGGGTTGAACTAATTAACAGGATCTCTAAGGTTGCAGAAGCTGCAGGCCATTTCCCAAATATCTACTTGGAACAACCAAATCAAGTCAGGGCAGAACTATGGACAGCTTCCATTGGTAAGCAATAAACTTGCACCCTTCTTGTGGACCATATTCAGTTGCATACCATCAAAATTCCTATATAATCAGTTGCTTTTATTCTATATACATGTATTCTCATCTTATAACATGAGATTGATGGTTCACAATTTTGCAGGAGGTTTAAGTATGAATGATTTTATTGTTGCTGCAAAGATAGATGAGATAAAGATATCAGATCTTGCCCCAAGGAAAAGGGTTTGGGCGTAATGCCCCCGTGAACTCCATAAAACAATTTACCATGAAATTTTCTTCAACATAGAATATCCACTAATATGTGTTATTTGATTAAATCTATTATTCTTTACTCTTATTTTTTAGTGTTTCACTCCCATGCTGTGTACACGTCTCATATGTATTCTTTGTTCGGTAAGTATCACAAGACTTGGAGGGATTTCATTAATATTTGCACCGAAATAATTATTATTTTAAGCCAATTCATTCGTTAAATAAATTTATTTTAATATTGTTATTATTATAAAAAAATATTAATAATTTTTCTTTACATAATGGATTATGTGACTATTTTTTTCTTCGTTTAATTGTGGAAAGAGAAGATGCATCTTATCTTAAAACTTGTGTTTTTCACTTAAGATTCACTATTCTTCGTTCTTTCGTTTTTAACTTTTCATGTGGAAAGTAATAGTATTAAACATGATGACCAATTTTTCTTGAGAACATGACGTGTTTCTACTAGTGCAAGTTAAGTAATTCATATCCCATGTATTAAACACAAAATGAACAAAATCGGGTTATATATAATAGTAGTCATATTTAAATATAATAATCTTCCTTTCTATTTCTAGCCATACTTATCTTTGTTTATTTTGCTAAATAAAGTGATAATAAATAGAAAAGAAAAAAAAATTGTACTGTTTGCTTCGAATGCAAATTAAAAGGGATAAGTTATTCCCAACTTACTAACAATGTTTTATTTCCCATAATTTTTCATGAAATAAATATCCTTTTTTTCTTCTTTTGTTTTAATTTAAAAATTACATTTTTTGCATAACACTTTTTAAAAATATTTAATAATAATAAGAAAAATAATAAAAATATACTTTTTAATTAGTATACAAATATTTTGACATAAATTGTCTTTTTAAATTGTGTGAAATAAGTAACTTTTTTTTCCTTTCTTTATATCCTAATAATTTTTTATATATAAATTATTTTTTAATGCCTAAAATGAAAAAAAAATCATTAATATTTAGGGATAGAATTTATGTTTTTTTTAATTTGAGACATTAAATTATTATTTTTAAAAATAAAAGACCAAAATAAGAACTATCCTATTTTTTTAGGAAATAAAATCATAATTAAGTCTACCTTTGATTTTATTATATTTCTTTGTGTTTTTACTAGACCTATCTCTTCTCTTCTCTTTTTAATATCTAGTCCAAACAAAGCTATGGTGTGAGATTAAAGTAAAATAAAAAGAAATGAAAAATTTGATAAATAAGTACCAAAGTGAATTGTGAGGAGGTAAAAATGAAGTAAAAGAAAGTAGAAAGGAGGATTGTAGCATGTATTCCATAGAAGAGGAAGATTAGGAGAGCCAAAATATTTTGAAACAGCTCAGTGGGAAGCAGAGGAAGACCAGAAGAGATGAATTGGCTATCCTCCTCATCCACTGCTGCTTCTACTTTTCTATCACCTTCCGCTTTACTTCCTCCCCCAACTCATGGTTCCACTTATCTCTCTTCTCTTCTCTTCTCTTCTCTCTCTCTCTCTCTCTCTCTTTTCTTTCTCTCTGACATGGGTTTCTCCTTTGGTTAGCAGGGTTCTCTTCTGTTACCTTCAAAGTTTGGAAGAAAAAGGTTTGTTTCTAGACCATTACATGTCACCCATTTCCATTTCCAGCACATAATTCTAGCATTTTAAGAAATGTTTTTTTTTTCTTTTGGGATAAATAAGTTTTTTTGTCCCCATCCGATTCAGATTTTGAATTTTAGTCCTCTAAAATTTTGTTCCCCGTTTTTAGTTCGTCATATTTTTATTGCTCATAATTAGTGTCTGAGTAGTTAAATTTTGCCCTTTTGTTCCCATTTCTAGTCCCTCCCATTGTAAGCAATAAAAATGAAATTGACAAAAATTTTCAGAGGGACTGCAACTCAAATTTGAAATTCATGAGGGATCAACAACTTATTTATTTGAATATTTTTATTAAAGTAGAAAAAGCATGAAGTTAGTTTATTTTTTATTGTCATGTGTCCTTTGCTGTATTTACCATTGCTATGTTTGTAGGAATGAGAACCCAGGTTGAAATTCAATTCAAATAAGAGTTTTGCCTTGTTAGGGTGACCTTTTGACTGAGTTATTATTAGTAAGGGGAAGGTGGAAAACCCTTTATTTTTGTGCACAAGAGAAGGCTTAGGATTGGGATACTGTTGGTCTGGGCTTCTCAGTCATGAACAAAGGCACACAAAATTGCAAATTGGTTTGACAATGAAATTATCTATATGAGAAGTGCTAGCAACACACTTTGTACATTATGCGATTGATTAAAATCTATTGAAAACTATAAAATTACTGAGTCAGATTCGTTAAATTAGAAATAAGACCTCAAAATTTTGTGATTTCGGCTTGTAGTGAAGAGTGTGATAGAGAGTGTGTTACTAGTATTTTTCCTATAAATATAACACTGTGGGATGCTATTGGAACTAGGAAGAGCATGTTCATTTAAATGACATTCTCTTAGTTTCTTAAACATGTACTGCATAATATATGTGGTTTTAGCATTGAAAGAGGATATTGGCCCTGTTTCCTAATGGTAATAGCATTGGTCAATTGTATTGCAGAATGTATATTAAGAGCTTTAACACTCATAAATACACATTCATTGCAATCTCCAGATGTAGGAAAATGTGTGTGATGCAAGATGTTGGTTTCAAACTGTCACGGAGTGTGGTTTGCCGCATCTTTGGAATCCCTTGCATAAATCTATTTAAGTGAAACTCAATCTGTTATCACCTGTTGCTTAGTGGCATATAGTTATTACGTTGTAAGACGCTGACTTCAAATCTAGAGACCAGAAGGAGTCTATTAATAAAAAGAAAACTTCCTAGCCTATTGTTGCAAAATCGGCTGTAATGTGGAGGCTGATCTATTAGAAAAAATGAGTTATGTGAAAAGAAATTGATATATTGAGTATGAGTGGTTCAGAATGATGGTTTATTTTTAAATAGTACAGTGTAAACCTCATATGGTAAACAAAAACTAACCTTCAATCCACAATAAAGGCTCAAACTTTACAGCCAATATAACCTTTTTATGGATTACTACTACATTTTATGATTATAAGTTTGTAACCTTGTCTGTGATTTGGAGTATTTGTCAGATCATATTGGACCTTTCACTTAAATTTACTGGCTGGAAAAGCATGTCCTGATTAAAATTTGAAGTATTTGTAAGAAGAATCTTGTTTTCTTGGCCTTTAATTTCATGAAACTATGTTCAATGATGCAGAATAGATGTATAAGGAAAGCTAGACGTATTGAAATCTCTGCAAAGTTTGTGCTGGAGCCACCACCATATCCACTGGTAAGATCTAAAGTTTGTCCATTACTCCATTCATTACTTATTGGGATCCAATTGCAAGGTGTAGGACTTGAGTCACCTTGGAAATAAGATTTTAGTGTGGGGTTTCCTTGGACACGCCAGCCACAATGGCTAGCTTTAGTGGTGTGGTTCTCCCTATACTCTTACCAAGTTGTCCTTCAAGTTGGCAAACTTTTATGGGATCTATGCTTCAAATGAAGTTAATATTGTATTGACTTGAATTTCCATTGCCACAAAATTAGATTTCACCAGGCTTTATCTTTTTCTTGAAGCTAACATCGTTGTTGACTTGAATTGCCATTCTTTGAGTCTGACGTTCCCTGCTTTACCATAATCATCCATCACTCTGGGGTAGACTTTAGTTTATTTAACCTAGGCATTTAATTTCTTCCCGTGAAGCACATCAGTTACACTGAACTGATTAAACAATGCCACAAGAGTTTAATGTACTTTTTGCAAGTCAAGATTTGTATGTTTATGCTGGATTGATGCTACGTATTTTACCAATACTGTCACAATGAAAACTCTCAGAATGCTCTGGAGCCAATAATGAGTCAGGAGACACTCGAATATCATTGGGGGAAGCATCACAGGACTTATGTAGATAATCTGAATAGTCAAATAGATGGAACGGATCTAGAGGAGAAGTCACTAGAGGACACTGTAGTTATTTCGTACAATAAGGGTGACTTTCTTCCGGCTTTCAACAATGCAGCACAGGCAAGCATACTTGAAATCATAAAGTCTCTAAACCATTGCATAGCAATCATGTTCAACTTTTTGCAGGCATGGAACCACGACTTCTTTTGGGAGTCCATGAAACCCGGTGGTGGTGGAAAGCCATCTGGGGATCTTCTAAAGCTGATTGAAAGAGACTTTGGTTCATTTGAAAAATTCCTTGACGAGTTCAAGACTGCTGCTGCAACACAATTTGGTTCAGGATGGGCATGGCTTGCATGTGAGTTTTAAATACCCTTCTGATCATACTCTAATTTTCTGGCATTCTTTTTGTTTTTGTTTTTTTTTTCTTGGTATATCCCTCGCAAGTGGCCTTTACCCTTCTTTTTCTTTTTCCATTTAAAGATAAAGAAAGCAAACTTGACGTGGGAAATGCTGTGAATCCTCTTTCATCTGACGAGGACAAGAAGCTAGTTGTGGTGAAGACTCCCAATGCTGTGAACCCCCTTGTTTGGAACTACTATCACGTAAGGATTAGCTACAATATCCAGAATTCATTTTATATTTTGAAGGCTGCAGCATCATGGTTAACATGTCTGACAAGATTTAACATTAATTTCTTGCAGCCACTTCTTACCATTGATGTCTGGGAGGTACTAATCAAGTTTATTTTGTGTTAGTGGATTTGAGGACATTAAAACTATTGTTTTATTTCTTTGATAAAAAGTTTGCTGACTTTGTAATGATATTTAACTTTTATACAGCATGCTTACTACATTGACTTTGAGGTAAGCTGTTAGTTTAGAGAATTATACAGTGATTACTATTTTTGATAATGATGCTCAATAGATAAATATACAACTATGACTGCTTTGTTATCTTTGCAGACCCGGCGCCCTGATTATATATCAGTGTTCATGGATAAGCTTGTGTCTTGGGATGCAGTCAGCTCAAGACTTGAGCAAGCTAAGGCTCGAATGATGGAGAGGGAAAAAGAAGCTGAGAGGAAAAAAAGAGAAGAGAAACCTAGAAGCAGTGAACCTAATCCTGAGATATATTCTGACAGTGATGCTGAATTGGGTGCAGATGAGTAAAATATTTTTCATATGGAGTTGTCTTTTGCACTAGCTAGGTGTGGTACAAAGGCTTAATAACTTCAAGCTCCAAATTTTGTTCTATGATAGATGTTGTAAGTTAGTGCTTAATCACTTCAAGCTCCAAATTTTGTTCTATGATAGATGTTGTAATTTAGTGCTTCATACATGGCTCTAGGTCTGAATTTATGGATTTGCCAAAGCCAATTAGACTTTGATGTTGTTAGAGAGAAAAAGACGTGTTTCTTTGATAGCTATGAATCCTATTGTATTTAAGCATGCCAAGGTGATGGGACAGGTTTTACCTCCCTACCCCGACATTTTTAACTATTTTTGTAGCAGTTGGGTTAAAACTTAAGTTTTCATTTCTCCTTTTCATGAATTTTAAGTTTCCTCACCCTCAACTGGTCCCATTCCATATTATTTCTAAAAAAATTTACTGTATTTATAATAAATTAATGGGTTAAATATGTTTTTAGTCTTAGAACTATTTCACAAAATTATGTTTCCTTCTCGTCTTAAAGTTTGGATACATTTGCTTCCTATGTTCATATAAACCGTTGAATATGGTCCTTATTAATCACTTGTGTTAAATGGAATTTTACTATGGACATTTCATGTAATTGACAACTCTCATTTTATTTCATGTGCCATTGTATCCTTTTTTTCACTTACTATTGCTCCCTCTGTCTCACCAATCATACTCTCTCAATCTCTCCATCTTCTCTCTAGTGAACCCTTCTTCGTCTCCAACAACACCCTTGTTGTCTTCCTCGACAACTCCCAACAATCACCACTTCTCGCTTCGATAGGAAATGACATTACCTTTATTGGAGAACAATTCTAGATATTGGAAAATTATGGAAAGTTAATATGGGTAATGATAGGTTAGGTTGTGTTTGTATTTTTTTTTTTTTTTTCAATTTGGTTATGTTTGGTTCGTTTCAATTGAGTTTGTTTTGTTGTTTTGTTGCAATTAGGTAGGATTGAGTTGAATTTGGTTTGGTTTAGTTCCATTTGGTCTGATTGGGTTATTGAGTTCGATATGGTTCAATTTTGTTGGGTTTGATGTAATTCGTTATGATTTGATTGCGTTTGGTTTGTTCTACCTACGTTTGTTTGAGTTAAATTGGATTGAGTTAAGTTTGGTTGGTTTAGTTTGTTTGATTTGGCTCGATTGGGTTCAATTCGATTAGATTGTGATTAATTGGGTTTGGAATGGTTCGTTTAAATTTGAGCTAAATTAAAAAAATTTGAAATATTTGACTAACGGATGAACCTTTGCAAGGTGAACCATACATTCAATTTTACACAATAAATTTATGAATAATTTATAGAACATTTCAAAATATTGGAAATGCATAGAGAGGTTATTTTGTGCAATGATTGGTTATGTTGAGTTAAATTAGTTGGGTAGGGTTGGATTCTAATTGTTTCATTTTCAATCAAGTAGATTTGGTTCAGGTTGGTCCTTTTGGGTTCAGTTTGGTTCATCTGTGTTTAATTAGGTTATGATCGATTCAATTCAGTTTAATTTGATTGTGTTTAATTAGGTTTGGTTGGATTGAGTTCAATTTGTTCTATTAGATTACGTGTGATTGGGTTTGGCTCAATTGGATTCAACTCCTTTGGGTTGGGTTTAGTTTATTTCGGCTGGGTTTAGTTAGGTTTGTTTCAATTGGGTTCAATTTGGTTCGATTTTATATTTGCATTGTGTGGTTACGAAACAATTCCAAAACCAGTTTCAAGAGAATTACTGCATGCCTAAGTTTATATAAAAGTTTATATCTGACTATCTTAATGATTCTTTATTTTTCCGACTATGATATGAATTTACAAATTCTTATATGTCTTATTTATAACATGAAATACACATTCAATTTTATGATATAAAATTATGAACAATTTAGGAGATAATTAAAGATATTGGAAAAGAATAAGAAATTTATTATGTGCAATGACTATCTGGATTAGGTTAGATTTTGTTTAATTCAATTTTTGTTTACTTAAGTTTGGTTTGGTTCAATTGAGTTTGTTTCGGTTGAGCTCAATTGGTTTGGTTTTGTTTAGTTGAGTTAAGTTAAGTTTGATTTGATTGGGCTAGGTTCAGTTGGTTTGGTTAGATTGGGTTGAGTTTATTTCAGTTTGACCTAAATTCACAAATTTTTAGATATCTAATTAGGTTATAAACTTGTGCTACATGAACTAGACATTCAATTTTACACTAAAAACTTATGAATGATTTAAAGGACATTTCAAGATATTGGGAAAATGTGGAGAAGTTATTATGTGGAATGAATGGTTAGATTGGGATGGATCGAGTTCACATAGGTTCTGTTGTGTTTGGTGGATTTGATTTAATTGGTTTGGTTGGATTAGATTAGGTTAAGTTGGGTTCAATTTGGTTTAATAAATTGTTGTATATGCGGATTATGTAGATGCGGAACAATTCCAAAAATAATTTGTAAATAATTGTTGTATGTCTAAGTTTATATAAAATTTTATATTTGATTATCTTAATGATTCTTTACTTTTCATATGTTTTATTAGGTTATAGACCCTTGCAACGTGAACTAGACATTTAATTTTACTCTATAAACTTATAAATAATTTAGAGGACAAATCAAGATAATGGAAAAGATTGAGAAATTTATTATGTGTAATGATCGATTGGGTTGGGTTGGATTTGGTTAAGTTCAATTTGATTGGTACAGGTTCGCTTGGATTCAATTTGGTTAAGTTCATTTGCCTTTAGTTGGATTTGGTTCAGTTTAATTAGGTTGAATTATGTTCGATTACGTTAAGTTGAGTTTTGTTCGATTCGATTTGGTTTGTCTTAATTGGGTTAGTTCAGTTAAGATTGACTTGGTTAGGTTTGATTTTGCATTACATGAATGTTAAACAATTCTAAAACCATTTCTCAGATAATTGTTGTATGTTAAGTTTATAAGAAATTTTATATATGACTATCTTGATAATTTTTTATTTTCCATACTCTTCTCCAAATTCACAAATTCTTAGATGTTTAATTATGTTATAGATCATTCAATTTTACAATATAAACTTATAAAATAATTTAGAGGACAATTCATGGTATTAGAAAAGAATAAGGAAGTTATTATGTGCAATGACTTAATGAGTTGATTTAGGTTTTGTTCGATTCATATCAATTGAGTTGAGTTGGATTTGATTATGTTCGGTTTGGTTTGGCTTTGTTCAATTTTATTTGATTCAATTCTATTCGATTTGATCCATTTGAAATTAATTTGGTTCAGTTTGGTTTGGTTAGGTCAGTTTAATTTTACATTATGTGGATGCAAAACAATTCCAAAACTAGTTTGTAGATAATTGTTATATGCCTAAATTTATTAGATTGATTCGGCTCGATTGGGTTAGGTTGAGTTTGATTCGATTGGTTTAGGTTTGATTCGATTGGGTTAAGTTCAATTGGTTTGGTTGGATTGAATTTAGTTCAATTGGGTTTGATTTGGTTTCATTTAGTTAGGTTCGGTTTAATCCTGTTAAGTTATGTTTGGTTCGATTGGGCTCAATTTAGTTGGATTCGGTTCAATTTGGTTTGGTTTGATTGGGTTCACTTAAATTGTGTTTGATTTGATTAGGTTTGGTATGATTAGGTTCAATTGGTTCAATCTAACTCGATTGGGTTGGGTTCAATTGGTTTAGTTGGAATGAGTTCAATTTGTTTGAGTTCGATTTGAATTCACAAATTCTGAGATGTCTGACTAGGTTATAAATCCTCGCAACATGAATTACACATTCAATTTTACATTGTAAACTTATGAATAATTTAGAGTTGTAAAAGTATGATAAAGTTATTATGTGCAATGATTGGTTAGGTTGAATTAGGTTCAATTTGGTTTGGTTGGGTTTTATAGCATTTGATTGGACTGTGTCGTGCTTGATTGGGTTGGGTTAGGTTGAGCTCTATTTGTTTTTTTGTTTGAGTAGGTTCAAGTCAGTTAAGTTCAATCCTATTGGGTTTAGTTTGGTTCAATTGGACTCGGTTTAGTTGGGTTTGGTTTCGTTTAACTAGATTCAATTTTGCTTGATTGGGTTTGACTATGTTTGATTCAGTTGAGTTTGTTTCGATTTTGTTGGGTTCAATTGGATCATGTTGGATTTGGTTCGGTTCGATTTTGTTCAGTTTTGATTTTGCATTGAGTGGACACAAAATAATTCCAAAACTAATTTGCAAATAATTGTTATATGCCTAAATTTATATGAAATTTGAATATGACTTTAATGATTATTTAGATTCTAGACTCGTATTCAAAAAAATTTAAATGCTTAATTAAGTTATAGGCCCTTGCGACATGAACTAAATATTTAATTTTATAATATAAATTTATGAATAATTTAGAGAACAATTCAAGATATTGAAAAGGTACGAGAAAGTTATTATGTGTAATATTGGTTAGATTGAATTTGGTTCAATTTGGTTCGATTTGGTATGATTCGATTCAATTAGATTAAGTTTTGTTTTGTTTAGTTTGTTTGATTCAACTTGATTGGGTTAGGTTGGATTATGTGATTTGATCTGAATTCACAAATTTTAAGATGTCTAATTAAGTTATAAACTAAACATTCAACTTTACACTATAAACTTGCAAATATTTTAAGGGATAATTCAAGATATTGGAAAATTATTATATGCACTAACTAGTTAGGTAGGTTTGGTTGGATTAAGTTGAGTTTGTTTGGGTTGGGTTCAAACTTATTAGGTTAAATTGTAATTAATTGGGTTCGATTTGGTTCCATTCAAGTAAGTTTGATTTGATTTGGTTCTGTTATGTCGATTTTAGATTAATTAGGTTTGATTCAATATGATTGAGTTCAGTTTGGTTTAGTTAGATTTGGTTGGGTTAAGTTCAACTCAGTTTGGTTCAATTAGATTTGATTCAATTTGCTTGCATTGAGTGGATGTGAAACAATTTTTAAAACTAGTTTGGAGAAAATTATTATATGCCTAAATTTATACAAAATTTGATATTGACTATCTAAATTGTTATTTACTTTCCTTAACTCTATATGAATTCACAAATTATATATCTAATTTCACCTAAATGCTAAGGTTGGACAACACATATTACCAACCTTATTTGAAACTACTCAAAATACACATTCTTTTAATCAAAATATGTCACATACATTGTGATATTTTCAACTTGGTCATAAATTAAATTTTATGTGCATCAAATTAGAAAATACTATTGAAAATTCAAGTATGAGTTGAAATTTTAAATTGAATAGAAACGAGAAAATTAAATAATTTGTAATTTATAATCTAATATTTTAAGTTGAATGTCTTATTCTCTTTTCTTATATGATTGGTAAATGTCTCATTTATGATAATCTTTTTGTGTTAATTCTCTCATAAATATTCAATAGTGATAGTTCATGTGACAAATGACTTGTTTAATTGACGTCACTACTAGAAACTTGTGTTAAAAAAGTATTTTCATACACCTAAATACCCATGATAAAAAAATGTTTTCACTAAAGAAAATAGATATTAATATCCAAGGAAATCACATCTGAAGAAAACATTAATTAAGTGACAAATATAATAACAATTTAAAAACAAATAAAACTTAAGAGACGAATAACTAACAAATAACTACTCCAAGATAAGAATATGATCTAGCGTTATATTAGATGACAGAATTACTAATGGTAAACTAGTTTGAGCCAACCATTCCAATTTTGATAGTTATTTATTCAGATAACAAATACAAAAATTTTCAATTTTTCACTAATAATTATGTACTTACCTTTCTCTCAATAAATATTATATAATATTAAATTTTAAAAAAATCGCTAATGTATTCAGATCAATGTCAACTTAACTATTTACGCAAGAACGTAACCATGAATGAAGAAAATTGTCTTGTTTCCATCACCTTATCGGAGATACCTTGAGAGATAAAAAGTTACCCAAATCTGTCTCAAAAGTATTAGTGACAGGTGGCCCAAATATATTCCAAAAACGAAGAGTTTCATCTGCCCCAGCTGACACCACTGTTAAACCATCTGGACTCTGCAAAGCATAAAAATAAGCTAATTTAATTTTGAAAGAGAATTACCAAATCAAAGATTAAACTGTTATCAAATTACAATGCATAGAGCTAGGTAGAGTTTAGGATCGCTCTAAGCAGTCTCCTTTCAACGTTGATGCCAGAGGTTAAACTATGAGTTGCAGAATACCTGACATAGATCGAGTACTCGGGAAGTGTGACGGTCCAAGCCTCCCACTTTAGTCATAGATGGATACCTCCACAAACAAAGTTGGTTGTGATGTGCACTTGTGCTAAATCCATGTCCACTTAATACCTCCTTGTGATGTCTATTCCATTCTAATCCACAAACCTGCATGAAATAATTACCTGCATCTATCATTCAGCCAGAGAAAATTTGATGCATCAGTCTAAAGGACTAAATATGATGAATGTCTTGCCTGAGCTTTTGTATCTATGCTGCAAATGCATGATCCCTTTTTTACATTCCATAACTTGATGCATCTATCTTCAGTGCCACCTCCAGAAGCAAGCACACCTGAATCATAAGGGCACCAGGCAAGTGCCTTCACTGCAGCACAATGGTCCTTAAAACAATGCAAGAATTTGGATGAACTCATTTTGGCCAAGTCCCATACATAAATATGATTTTCATTTCCACCACTTGCCAATATGTTGCCCCTTCTTGACCATCTCAGACCACAAACTTCTGCTTTGTGTGCTTTTACCCGGGATATCACATTTGTTCTTGCTCTAACTGCTTAATAAAAGAGCATGAAACATCAACGTGTTTATATTATCTCATTTCATCAGTATCTTGCTATACACTCAATAATCTAAAAAGGGTTAAATGGAACGACTCATTACCATCATGATTGATTATATACTTGTCATGGCTTCCAGAAGTTAAAATATGACCATTCCATGCAATTGTTGCTATCCTTTCACCATGACCTTCGAGGATCCTTATCTGAAAGTTGAAAACTGAGTTATGTGCACCCAGTTGTAGTGTATAAATATCTACTTGCTGATCTTAGAGAAGCCCGATAAATAGAAAGAAACATACTGGTTTGGAAGTTTCTGCATCCCAGAGTTCAAGTTCTGAGCTCTTAAATCCTATTGCCAAGTAATGGGTATCCTCTGACCAGGAAACACTAGTAGGAAAGTCATTGCTAGCGGCATTAAACAACTTTATTACATTACTGTTCTCTGAGTTCCAAAGGTACATGTCTGAGCCTAAAGCAACAGCCAGAATGTTGTTTCCCCCCCAATCCATGATGTTTGCGTAGTAATCATTTCTAATATTTGGTGCATCCAATATCCTTGATTCTCCCTGCAAGTGTAGTTATTCACTTCATTCAATCAGATACATAAGTTACTAGTTGGAAATTCCTCTTATCATGACTAGTTTATTAAACTTAGACACCATTAGGATTTATTGGCAATATGATAATACCAATCGAATCAATCAGAAACATTAAATTATCTCAAACAAAACAGAACAAGAAAACTTGAATCCCAAGACATCAAATTCAGCCTTCTTTTAGCAACAACTTTAACCCCACCCCAACGCTATGATGTCTTTGTATTCATTTGTGATATGATGTAATATATCTCTGACATATTAAACCGTTATGATTTCTCTACTCCTATCCAATCATATATATTCTTACAGAAACATGAATTTCATAGTTTTGCAACGTATTAATTTGCTTCTGTGCAGTTGTTCTTCTCAATCAGATACACAGAGAAACAATCACAAATGTAAAGCATTTGTTTGATATGGTTTAGGGTTACTACTGAAGAACTCTTAGAACAATAAATAAATGTTTGAACAAATTGGTGAACTATCACACCATCTAAAAATAGAATGTACAATAAAAACATTGTTATTAACAAAAAAGGAAACTAGAAAAACACACACTGATATGAACAAACCTTAGGCAATCTTCTAGAGTAGGGATGTTGATTGCTAGTGTTTTGCAATGCCGCTGCCTCTTCCTCTCGCATCTCATCTATATGACGAATGGATTTTCTGCTTGATTTTGGACTTCCCCTAAAAACCAACATCCTAAATGCCTTTCCTTCTGAATCCAAACTTAATTTGTCATCCACTATCTGTCTGTACACGTCCTGTCATTGAAATATAGGGAAAACATTCAAAATCTGATGCACCGAATATTCCACAGGCAAGAAAAAATGTATTTTGTAAACGTGGTTGAAAACAAGCAACCATAGAAAATGTAAAATACACATTCAAGAATTTCGAACAAGAACGGCTTCCCCTGAGCTTTGAGAAGAAAGTTGACAACTTTATAAACGAAAAAGAACTCATTCAATCTAAGTAAAGAAGGGTTACAATCCAACCCATCAAAATTAAAAAAAGGATCAAATTTTATGTTTGTTAAAGCATGAAAAAAATAACAAAAGCAGAAACACACACATAAAAATGATTGAAAAAAGAGGGATGAACCATTAGGGAATAAATGAACATACATTGAATTTTTTATTGTGAAATTTTTTGGTCCTGTTTGTGAGCAAACTCTGGGCTTGATCAAGATCCATCAAACTCCTGTTGGGAATGAAGCGATCACCCTTTACAAAAAACAACTCAATTAATAAAAAAAATTGCAAGATTAAATCTATAAGATTGAGCAATGAATTGTGATGATGAACATACTGGAAAATCATAATGGGTGGGAGTGCTGAGAAGCCTCTTGGGAGAGTACCAATCATGTTCAAGATTCCACATTTTACTTTATTATTATTTTTAGTATTATTGCTTCAAAGAAGAAAAAGAGGATGGTGAGTGATGAGGAGGAAGTGAAAATGGTGGTTCCTCTCTCTTCACCCGCCAAATACAGTTGCCGTTCGAATATTATATTTCAACGGTTCTCACTTTCCACTCATATCCAAATATACCTGAATTTTTAAAACTTTGTAGTATAAGAATTTTTAAAACGATCGTTTAATCTTTCCTCTATAAGAGGAAGTACTTTGAGGAGTAAAAAAAAAAGTTCGTACAATATTTTTTTAATTTTCTTATATTTTTTTTATTATTTTAAGAACGGTGAGTTTTTTGCATGTTTCTTAGCTTAAGAACTAAACACATTATTATGTAAACGTTTGAAAAATAAAAATTAAATATCAACTTATTCATAAACTTGTTAAAATTTGTTTTTATTGTGATAACACATGCTAAATATATATTTTTTCAACTTTAGATATCAATATTTTATCTAAAAATGAAAGAGTATTTTAATATGATATTTATAACAGAATAGTTAGAATTCATTATTATATCTTATATATTATTTGTTTAAAATTTTAGTTTATTATAATTTTATCTTTACAAAATTTTAAGCTGCTAAAAAAAATAAAAAATAAACCTAAAAAGACACTCACTCATATTTGATTCAGTATATGTTCAAAAAAAGTATAGAGACATAATTATTCCAAAAAAATACAAGTGATGATATTTATTATTATTTAATATTTTGTTAACTTAATTAAGGATATCTTCCTAACAAATTATGATTACTATTAACAAAATAAAAAATTTATTATAAGTTTTAACCAAAGTTTTTTATAACATGTGTAAATCATAATTTTATTTTATTTTTCGAAAAAAGCTATCAAGTTCATCAATTGACATATAATTTTTTATTAATATTTTAAGAAATTAATAATATAATTAAAAACTTTATAAATGTTTGGTATAAAATTTTGTACCTATAAATTTATCACATGAAATTGGTTTCAAATTAGAATGATGACGGTAAGAACCGATACAGGTAGAGTTGGCAAAACGGGCGACTTAACTGGCCTAGCCTTACGGGTCAAGTGAATAAATTTAATGGTATAATCTGACTTATATTTTAAAATGGGTAAGATTTTTTGGCTCCTATGTCGGATAAACAGGTCATTTTTGGCCTAATTAAACATAATTTTTTAAATTTTCTTTAAAAAAAATATGTCATTCATTTGTTTATTTAAAATTAACTCGTAACTTATCCAAAAAATAAAATGAAATGTATAAAATCATAAAAATGAGTTGTTACATTCATGTAGCCTTAAGGAGTTATAGTTGTCCATACATCAGCAATTAAACATATGGTAGATAACACATCTTTTAGGTTTTTCTTTTCATCTAAATACACGTTATAAAACTTTATCATTGAATTCTAATAATTCGTTTAAAACTAGGATTCAAAACTTTATTTACCTTCTGAACTCTCTCGTACTCAACATAGTTAAATTGAAGATCATGCTTAGTAATACATCTAACAAGTGCATCTCGGTAAATTTTAGAGTCAAATTCATTAGTTCAATAAGCTAGCCTTATTATTAAACATAAGACTCACATCATAATACTTTACAAATACACTACATTTAAGAATATGTCATCTTAAATTATTGGCCCTTAAAAGCAGTGGCGGATCTTCTTGGGAGCTGAGGGGGGCCGTGGCCCCCCAAAGTTTTATAGCTCCCATGTAATTTATGATTTTGGCCCCCCCAAACATAATGAGCATTTAATATATTTACTTGTATATTTACAATTTTATCCTCTCAACCCCTCCTCAATTTTGTAACTTTCATATAATTTATGATTTTGTTTCCCTCAAACTTAATTATCATTTAATATATTTAAGTATATATTTACAATTTTATCTTTTCAACCTTTCATATTCTTTTTTTTTATTAATAATATATTATTTGGCCCCTCCAAGATCAATGGTCAAGATCTGCCACTCGCTTAAAAGCAAATGTGACGGTAATAACCAAGACAAAGAAGATGACCAAAGTAAATGAAGAGTATGTTTAGAGTTTATTATTTTTTTAAAATTACACACACACACACACACACACATATATATATATATATATATATATATATATATATATATATATAACAAAATATATTATCAAATTAATTTAGTATACTTATATTTTTAATAAAATAATATTATTTTTATTTTATTAGTAAAATAATTATTATTTTATAAAACGGATCCGTCCAAAAGTCTACGGGCTAGCCTGGCCTAAATAGGCCAGACTAAAATTTACCCGATTCTACCTAGGGTATAATTCTTTTAGCCTAGCTTGACTTATTTTTCTTCAGGCCTTTCGGATTGACCCATCGGACTAAACCTATTTTGACACTACTAGATATAGCCTATAGGTAATTATTATTTACTACTCATGTTTATTTATATTTATTAATATTTATTTGAAAAATACATATAGGAATCCATGGGTTTTAGTTTTCTTTTTTGAAATTTAAAATAAATAATATTTTTTAAAACATGAAAACATACATTTATAAATTTAAATTTTAAGCAAATTTCAATTTCTCATCAATAATTTTACTTTGATAAGTTGATTCTTAAAAAAACTCAAATAAAAATTACTATTAATGGATAAAAAAATATTATTATTATTATTATTATTATCTATTATTATCGTATATATTATAATAATTCAATGTCACACTTTAACCATTAGTCTCTTTAACCCATTATGTGATTAAAATTTTTTTATCTGCATTTTATGATTTGCTAACATGATTTGACTTATATAAAATTCGTAACATTGATAACTTTAGTTTAACAATTTTTAATTATCCGTAAAAAAAATTGTCACACTTTCCATGTTGGGAAAACAAACGCGTTTGTAAAAGTTTTTTTAAAATCTAATCCATTAATTGATTTTTTTATTCGAATAATCAAATTAAAAAAGATATTGAAATGTGTTGAGGTTTCAATAACAACAAGATAACAAGGATTTTATATTGATTTAATTTCGGAGAATCTATATTCAATTATTCAAGCAATTTTATCTTAAATTTTCACTATAATCTCTTTAATATTCAGATTACAAAACGTGTAGATCTTGAAATACAAACATCATCTAACATACATAAATCACATAACTTGAAAATATTATTTGAAAATTCTCACAAATTTCAAGAAACTTTGATGATGTTCACCTTACAATCATTAAGATATAGCAAAAATTACAAAACTACAAGAACAAAATCACTTGAACTTTAAATTGTACAATATATGTAATCCTTTAACTAAATGATTTATTCCTTGAATGCAATTTTTTTTCACAATGATTTACAAATTCAAATGTTTTCATCCACAATAATCCTTTCTCTTTTTAGTGTTTTGATTGTTTTTTAATTCATATTTTATTTGTGTAAGTTTTCTTTTTTTAAAGAAATAAAAATAATTACCGTTGATTCAGATAATCCATTAGCAAAAAATCTAATAGATTATTTATGTGTAGTGAGTATAGTGACAGAAGAACAATACGTCAATATAATTAATTAGGTATTAACATAATTAATTATTAACACGTGGTGTCAAAACATAAAACATAATCATATAATCAATTAAGTGTCAATAGATTAATAACGCATAATAATTTTACTGCCTAAATTTTAACATAATCAATTAACATAATTAAAAATAGATTTAATCAATTGGCTTTAACATCATGTACACATAATTACCAAGATGACATCATAAAAAAATTCTTCAATCTTCATTAAGTCATTGATAATTTCCTTTTTTTTTTTTTTATGATGACCAATCAGCACTCCTCAACAAACCTACAATAGATCAAGCTGTTCGAAATACACATAAATAAGGATTAAAAAAAAAAAAAAAAGCAGAAATCACTCATTCATTCGTCATCAAAAATGAGTTCTACCATTCAAACATCTTCAACAGTATTGTCATCGTCTTTGATATTTGTTATTTCTACCGTGTGGATAAAATGGAAGATAGTTTTTTCATCAAACATATAATTTGGATAAAATAATAATTCCTTAGTTTTTATTTTTGTTAAAGTAACATTAGCCTGTATTATGTTACTTGGACATTATATAATGAGATTGCAGAAAAAACAAATTAATGAGACAGTAACTTGTTTGACCGTATAATAAATATTGTAGCTGCAAGGACATTTTACTAAATGAATACAATTTTTAAAAATTTATTTGAACATGATTTAGTATATTTGTAAAACTAAAAAAATTGAATAAAATTACGGATAATTCAAAATTAAGAAGTCATAATCACGTTAAAAAAAATCACATATTATATATATAAAAAAAAAAAAATTAAGAGAGGCGGAAGTTTTTTTATAAGCAAAACAATTGTGAAATTTAAAGACCGGAATTACAAAAGTAAGATAAAAGTATTCGAATGTCGCAAAATAAAATTATGACATTATTTGACCAAGAAACAAATAAAGTTATTAGTTTTTTTTTTAGGGTATTTTTTAATAAAATTAGTTAGTGAACTCTTTTAAGCTCTTTTTATTTATTTATTTATTTTGTAATTTTATGTAATATTTTTATATTTTAAAAATTTTGTTTTCATAGTTATACTAGTCAGAATTTACCTAATTTTTTGTGTTGTGGAATTTTTTTAATTTAAAAATTTTGCAACACTCTTTGGATCTCATTTTTTTCTATAGTAGTTTTGAATAATATTGTTATTTTAGGAAATTATTTTTCATGGTTACACTAGTCAGAAATTTTCTACAATTATTTTTCATAATTACACCAATCAGAAAATTTTTAAATAAAAAAATTTCATTGCACTTTGTCAGGATTGATTTTTTATTGTTCTAGTATTTTGTGTCAGCTAATATTTTTAGTTAAAAAATTTCACTGCACTGTTCCAATCTCTTTTTTATATTTCTATTTATTTTAAGCAATATTTTTACATTTTATGA